CCCCCCTGGACATTAAAAAACACAAACATATAAAAAATATATAATATGAGAATATATAATCACGAAAGCAAGCCGGTAGGCAGGGCTTGAGGTTGTTGGAGCGAACGAAGTGAGTAAAGGGGGTGTGGGGGGGGGTGGTCGCGAGAGGGCCAATTTCAGAGAGGTGAACCCAGAGCCTGGTTGGGGAGAGCGAAAAAAAGAGGTGGGCTACTTGGTAGTGAAAAATGAGTGGTTTTTGGGGATGTTGTGATGCCGGTGATGTAATTGACGGCCAGTGGTGCATCATTAGCATCACGAGGTGCTCAGGAGGCCATGGAAAGAGAATAGATTGTAGTTGCGGCTAAGCTTGCCGAACTGAAGAGGGGACTCCCTATGTGGTGGGGGTTCACGTGGATTGGGGGTTAGGGCAGGAGAGAGAAGAGATTGCAGCGGGCAAGCGTTGGAGGCGGAAGGGTTTGAATTGCTTAGGGGTGCCCTTTTTTTCTCTCCGTGGCAAGGTCTAGTTACGGACTCAAAAGGGCACCCCATATGACTGGTGTTAAGATCCCGTCCCTGCGACGAAAGCTTCCAAAGCTGAGAAGCACTTCTCCCGTGGGTCGACAAAACGTCCGGAAAATGGACACTCCACATTCGAGCAGCACTGTGAAACGTGGACATAGACCATCGTCTTGAGTTTGCGCAATCTCCTTGCTCTACCAATCACATGTGCAATCTTGCGCCGTTATTGAACTATTTTGTACATATGAAACTGCACATTGCATCCATGCCACAGAGGTTTGCAGTTTGGCGCCATTTGAAGTGGCCAGCTGTTGCTGGAAACCATAGCACATTCCAAGCTCAACTGAGAAGCAGGGGATATCTAATCACGAAAGCCAGCCGTCAACTCAATTGAAACATAGACCAACACACCATATCAAATCTTCCCCATGCTACAAGGGTGCCCTTTTTCCCCTCCACAACGCCCCGACATCGAGACGCAAAAGGGGACCCGTCCCAAACCTCTGTATGTTACTCTTTATTTCCTTTCTTTCTCGAGTGACGGTCATAGCCACTTCGCCGCTTCCAGCTCCTCCTTGTCCACTATATATATATATATTTTTTTTACATGTATATAACGAAAGCCAGCCAATAGGCAAGGCTAAACGGGGTGTTGGGGGGGTGGTCGCGCAGACTCCACTTTTGTGAGGTCAAACCTTGAGCCTGGTGGGGGAGAGCGTTCAAAAGTAGGTTCAGGAAAGCATCGAAAAAGTGGTTTGGTGATGCAAGTGATGCAAATGACGCCGAGTAGTGCATCATTAGCATCATGAAGGGGTCTGGAGACAATTTTTCTAGTCCTGAGCAGGGCATAGGGACTGTGTAGCTCTGATCATACCAAGAAGGACCAAGCAACAAAGAGTGAACGCTCTAGGAGCGAACGATGTGAGTATGTCCAGTAGGGCGAGGATGAACTCAAGCCGGGACACGCGGAAGCGTTCAACACGATGCCCAAAAAATTTTACCACAGCAACAGAAAGGATGTCCTTCGGGCATTGATTATGTATCTACATACGGAGTCTGATTGTTTTTGCATAGATCTGGGGCATGCACAGATCAGGGGCATTTCTGGACAAGCTTTAGCAGGCTGCAGCACTGAGGTTTCGTAGCGAGCAAGCGAGGGACTTTTAGCAGCAACTCTCGGTGGCCACGTGTGGAAGACTCAAACACGATGCCCGAAATATAGCCAAAACTAAATTGGCAGAAAATCGAGAAAGCCTAAAACATTCAACACTTCATGCTGTGCTCCGATCTTGATCTACTCCACGTTGATACAAGCTCCACGAAAGCTACAGGCATTCAACAATAAGTGCTCCGCTATCTTTTTCCTCCCAGTCTTGCTCTTTATACGGCTTCGCATTCATGCACGATGCCCGAGACACATTTCAGAGCAATACAAAACTTTCGGGCATCCTTCTCCTGGTGTTCACTGACGTTTATTTTTGCACAGACTCTCAAATAGAACACCAAGAAAGGACGCTCCAGCAAGCGCCGCACCAGGAAAATCAAGAAAGCAAAAAAACACACTTCCTCTCTATCTTCTCCGCCTCAACATTGATTTCCAGCCTTCCTTCTTCTCTTGTTTACGGAGTTTTGTTCCCCACATCTCTGTGTGGGGTTCTAGTTTTGTTGGCTGCCATCCCGCCCGCATCCGCCCTTCCTTCCTTCCCTCCGTCCTCCTCGCCCCCTCCTCCACTCACTCGCTCACTCACTCACTCACTCACTGCACACTCACACTCCCAGCAGTCACTCACTCACTCACTCACTCATTCACACACACAACACAAGATCTCCCTCCTCGCCCCCTCCTCCACTCACTACCCACCTACCCAGAGCCTCACAGAAGGGGCTGCGGCGCGCGTTGTCGCCGCTGGTGCCGCTTGCTGTCTTCCTCGTGGCAGGCGCAGTACCCAGAGCCTCCAGAAGGGGCTGCGGCGCGCGTTGTCGCCGCTGGTG